AAATAGTAAACAGAACAACAGGAGAACTGGATATTAAGAAAAAACAACTTACGCGCTCTTGTTGTTCTCACAGAGTGACTGCTTGTCCTGTATAAAAAAAATGTATGTTTTAAATGTCTATAGTTTTCATTAATTTTTATTGAAGGTTGTAGTTTCAGTTATTTAAGGATATCAAGTTACACTTAATGAAAATGAGAAATGTTGCTTTCTTTGGATTGTGGGGGAAACCAGGGAAAAGTGTGTGTGGGTGTGTGTGTGTGGTTTTAGTTTCAGTGGACTAAAATAACCCTCAGTCAGAAATCTCCACGTCTGCAGCTTTACACACACCAAACTTGACAGTTTTATTCCTGTCTATATTCTAAAGGTTTTTACTGAGGGAGTTGTTCATATATCATTCACCTTATTTACAACATCTTATTCCTAAAAACATGATGAAAAATCTTTTTTTTTTTTTTTTGTCTGTTATTTTCTGATTTATGGAGAGAAAAAAAATCCCAAATCCCCTCAGTAAAAACCTTTAACTCTAATATGTCAACAGAATTAAACAAGAATGTTGAACCTGCTTTATTCAATATTCAGATTTCTGTTCTGGATATTTAATCAAATCAGAGCATATTCAATTAGACAATGCTTCATTTGCATATTTAAATATTTCAGAAATGTTTTAATACAAAATATAAACAATTCTTCATGTAATCAATTAACTCGAGGAAGTACGGTGATATCCATCCATATTCATACAGAGGTTTTGCCTCAACTGTGTTAGAAAGCTCCTGTGTAAAACATTGAATTTACTGCTTTAAAAATAATGCTCATATTTAATAGTCTTCTCTCTCCTGCTGTAGATGAGCTCATCCCTGTACACTCGTCCACACGCCAAGAACTGGACTGAGATCAGGATTGACTCTGATGTGAATGTGAACTCTCTGAAAAGAGCTCTGACTGAACTGAAGAAAACTCTAGATGAAAAACTCAGTCAAACTGGTATGTGAATATCAAACACAGTATATAGATTATTTTGTTATTAACTTAGGAATATTATAATATACTATATAAGGAATATTATGGGTTGAATAAAAAGTTGGTGATCACCAAAATTATTTAATCTCAGTCTGCAAAAGATCACACTGTTTGAAAAATATAATCATAACATAACTAAAACTTAGTTAGCATAAGCATTAGACTGGTATGATAAAACACTCACTAAACGTCTATGTAAAGTTATATCCAAACTTTAACTGATGCCATAACCAGATATTACAGTATTACTTTAACTTACTTTAGAGACATGTAAGTGATATGACAAACAAACACTAATACACATCACTGTAAAAAAAATTGTTACATGCCATTTAAAAAAAAAGAAAAAGCTAAAAATATTACACATGATATTTCTTAGTTTTTAAGGCTTGATTTCTTTAATGAAATCTATCTGAATAAATAATGTAAAATCTCCTAAATTATTTAATAAATATGACACAAGGAATTTTCTTTGTGAAATGTGCTTTTTTAATTTCAGTTGACTCTCAGAAGTGTGTGATTTTTAGTGAACGGAAATGACCTGTTTGAATTGGACTTGTGTTGTGTTTGACAGTGAGTCTGGTTTCTCCAAAGGCTTTTCTCTCTCCATTCTGTCACTGATGGAGTTTTGGTTCATCGCCACTGTCGCCTTTTAAGGTTACCTTAAATCGGTATCCTTCTTTCCTTAATTTAATAACTTAATCGGTTCCTCAATTCAAGCCTCAAAACTGCTTAAGTTTCCTTAAAAAATGAGGAAAGTGTATCTCTTGGTTTTATGAGTGAAATGTCCTCATGCCACAGATGCTGCCAGTAGAGAAACTCACTGTTAATCTGAAATTATTGCTATAAATAATTCATCATTATATTGTCATCTGTGTTCACAGGGTTGAAGTTTGTGCAGAAGTTTGCAGGTACAGTGTGACTGACACCATTTTCTTCAATACACTTACAATACATTGTTTATAACCTGTATTATATACTGTATCTGAAAATGTTTGTTCTGAAGTTGATAATGTCTGATCTCTCTCAGTGGATGTGACTCTGGATCCTGATACAGCGAATCCATATCTCATCCTGTCTGATGATGGAAAACAAGTCAGTTATGGAGACGTTAAGCAGGACGTCCCAAAAAACCCAAAGAGATTTGATATGGGTCTTTGTGTTCTGGCAAAGCAGGGATTCAGTTCAGGGAGATTTTACTATGAGGTGCAGGTGAAGGGAAAGACTCAGTGGACTTTAGGAGTGGCCAGAGAATCCATTAACAGGAAGGGGGAGATCACACTGAGTCCTGAGGATGGAGTCTGGATTGTGATTCTGAGGAATGAGAATGAATATTATGCCTGTGAAAGTCCATCTGTCTATTTATCTCTGAGAGTGAAACCTGAGAAGGTTGGTGTGTTTGTGGATTATGAGGAGGGTCTGGTCTCTTTTTATGACGTGGAGTACAGATCTCATATCTACTCTTTCACTGCTCAGACTTTCACTGAGAAACTCTATCCATATTTCAGCCCATGCGATAATGATGAAGGTAAAAACTCAAACCCACTGATCATCACTCCTGTCAGATGAAACGAACACAATAACATAAAATCTCAAAAGATTAACTATGGATGTGCTGTTTTTAGAATATGTAAATAAAAACCAAAAAAGAATTTGGACTAACCACAATCAAGAAGTTTTAACTTACAACTATTAAGAAAATGAATATGTGATACAAGCGGAAAAAATAAATGTATATTCAGGCCCTTAAAAATCAACTATAATGAAATGTTTGTGTGTTATATATACACTAGGGGTGTAACGATACCCTATGTCACGATTCGGTACATATCATGATACTAAACTCACGATACAGTATTATTGCGATACTCCAAGACTTATGGTAAAAGGTCAACAAAAAATGTACTGTTGATTAAAATGCTACATCTGGTATTACATTGGGTGTGGAAATGAATAGGCTTGGACTTGGCGATGATGATAATCACAGGACAATAATGACACAGAATAAAAAATTGCATGATTCTAAAGCTGAAAATACAGAACTATATTAGACGAATATGCTTGAAATCTGACACTGACTAGATTTGTTTAAAAGAATGTAAGCCACTTTTTACTGGTAACATAAGACATTTGGCATTATCAGGACCCACAAATATTCCCCCAATGCATCATAATACATTATATATATAGCAGTTTAATCTAGTAATGTAGTGTGATATATTGTTACACCACTAATATACACGTGTAAATGGCTAATTTGTTACACATCTATATATTTATTTTGTCTTACATTAATACTTTGCTTGTCAAATCTACAATGAAATGTTACATAATATGCTTTCATATTATATGGTGAAATTCTACAAAATGCAAAATTTACAAACTTTCCAGTGTTTCTACAAAACTTTCTGAAGCCGTTTTCTCTCTCTTCTCTCCAGCTGTTAACACTGAATTACTGGTGAAATGTCGAGGTTTTTGGTTCATGTGAATAAAGACAAGAGTTCAATTCTATAACTGATATAGAGCGGGGCACAACCCAACACTTTCTGACTTTCTCAGTTTGTGTAAATTCTCTTGGGGTTCAAAGAATTACTTTTTTACCACATTCATTTCACACACGTCTAGTACAATTATGTGGTTTTGTTTCATTAAAGGGATAGTTCACCCAAAAATGAAAATTCTGTCAGTATTTACTCTCCCTCATGTTGTTCCAACCCCGTAAGACTTTCGTTCATCTTCGGAACACGAATTAAGATGTTTTTGATGAAATCTGAGAGCTGGATCACTCCTCCATAGGCTTCTTAAGGGATTGAAACTGGCCGGCCCAGAAAGTTATTAAAGACATCGTTAAAATAGTCCGAGTGACTACAGTGGCTCAACCTTAAGTTTATCAAGCGACGAGAATACTTTCTGTGCGCAAAAACAAACAAAAATAACGACTTTATTTCAACTATTCATGTCCTTCTCTTTGGGCCTCTAGTCAGTTAGCGGAGTGTGATAGTGTAGAGCTACATCACACGCAGGCTCACTATTGGCCGACGCTGGTCATGTGTGTGATGCATGTGACATACAACACAGAAGCGCTGCGCTGTTACACTAGTGAACTGACTCGAGGCCCACAGAGAAGGAAATGAACAGTTGAAATAAGGTTGTTATTTTAGTTTTTTTTGGGCAGAAAAAGTATTCTCGTCGCTTGATAAACTTAAGGTTGAGCCACTGTAGTCACTCGGACTATTTTAACGATGTCTTTAATAACTTTTCGGGGAACAAGTTTCAATCCCTGAAGAAGCCTATGGAGGAGTGAGACAGCTCTCAGATTTAATCAAAAATATCTTAATTTGTGTTCCGAAGATGAATGAAAGTCTTACGGGGTTGAACAACATGAGGGAGAGTCATTACTGACAGAGTTTTCATTTTTGGGTGAACTATCCCTTTAATACAGTGTATTTTTTTTTCTTGATTTACCCCGAAAGATTGGAAGTGAAGTGTGACAACATGCCCCATTGTAACATGACCATATGACAGATTAAAATGTTATCTGATCTAATAAAAAAAAAAATTACAAGACAAACTCAAATATTTTGTCAATAAAATACAATTATTAACTTTTTCAAATAAAGTAATGGCTTTTTAAAATACTTAAAAATAAACTTATTTTTGAGTTTGGTCTTTATTCACCCTTTTCTCATGGTTTCTCAATAGAATTCATAACAGTCTAGAATAGAATAGCATAGTTCTAATAGGGACACATTGTAACGTCGTGTGACAACATGCCCCGCCTGCACAACAAACTGAAAGACAAACGGCTGTTATAAAGTTTTATGGCAGAAGCACAGCAAATCTTAAGTGTTGTTTGCAACTGTTGTGTTTATTACTAGCATTGACACACATTTCACGATTTGATTGTTTCAATTGTGTGTGTGTGTGTGTGTGTGTGTGTTTCAGACCACTGAGGTGGCGCTGGCCAACCTGAAGAGCAAATATGAGAATGAGAAGGCCATAGTGACTGAAACCATGATGAAGCGTCGCAACAAGCTCAAAGCCCTGAAAGAGGACGCGGCCACGTTGTCCTCACTCAGGGCCATGTTTGCCACTCGGTACAAGACACACACACCAAACGCCTATAAACACACACACATTAGCAAAATAGTCTATTTGGTTTTATGACACAGTATCTCCTCTGTTCTCATACAGTATTATCAGTTATGATCAACAGAACAACACCAGGATCTGGTTTTGGTTCTATAAAAAAATATAATCACAGAAACTAATTATAGTCATGATATTTTTACAATAATAATATTGGATATTTTGTCCCAGTGAAATACATGCTCATCAGTGAAGCACTGAGTTTGGTTGCTGGAATAGATTGATTAACAACAGTAAAAACAAAACGGTCAACTTTTTTTTTTATAGGGCAAAACTGAAATATTATGACAGTGTAACTGTTTCCTTTTTGTCATATTGATCATCTCTCGAAGAGTATTAGAAAATACAGAACATACTTAATTCTACTTTCCCTTATGAAATTGATTGTTTACCTGTAATACTATCCAGACTTTTAACTGTTTGTAGATCATAGACTCAAGATTAAAACATCACTACCATTGTTAATGTTAATGTTAATTGTTAATCATTATGAAAAACTTCAGCATAAACACATTTAGAAACCATAAATACAAAAAAGTATAAAAACTGCCATAGTTCGCTAACAAAAATGACAACATTCCCTTATTCCCGCCACAGTTTTATAATGAACACATGTAGTTACACAACTGTTACGTTCACTTACGACGAAACCGACTGTGTGTATGTGCATACTCACCAAGACTGTCATTTTGTACATTTGTGTGTATTTGACCATTTAAGCGCAATTTGGTAGGTACTCGCGATCTGTTTGAGGAGGCCTTATGCATGTGTGTGTGTGTGTGTGTGTGAGAAATAAAGGTTTCTCTGTAAGAAAAACAAACTGGCTGGTAATTTTCCATGTAGGTCAGATGTGTGTGTAAGGTGGCCGTTTTGACCAGATTAAGATATTTTATGGTGATAGCTTGTGAGAACAGACTCTCAGTGATGGGAAACAGTAAATCTTCATTGCAGATACGTGTCAGTAGCCTTACGTCATCATACTCAGATTCTAGTCAGGACGTGAGTCTGATTCTGCTCCATTGGGCTGTGATTATGGGGTGTTTCCATAGATATTATATAGAGACTAGATGCCCTATTGACCGCTGGGCACTGAGAAATACGGCCGCCATCTTAAACCGGTCATACTCCTAGTTTCGTCGCATAGCAGCAGTTTAGATGCCGAGCACTATGCAGCTAGTCTGACTACGTCAGACTTCGTACTTCCGCTCAATTTCATTTCGCTTCGGTACTTAGTCTGAGACATCGACATGTCTCTCAGTTTTCCTCCGGCCTGAAAACAGCCGGCCAATCAACGAACAGAGGGCGGGCTGAGAGCCGTGACGTAGACGCTAAGCGCAGAGTTTAAGATTGGGGAAATCGAAAACGACCGCGGATATGGAGACACGGGATGCAATTCGCTCTGCTGTGGAGAATATTCCCGGCATTTCCAAACTGAAGGCCGAACAAGAAGAGTGTTTGTTAAACATTTTGAATGGATGTGATGTCGTGGCTCTACTCCCGACAGGTTTTGGTAAAAGTTTAATTTATCAACTATTACCGATCGTCAGCGAGAAACTGGGCAGGCCAAAGGCCGGCAAGGCGATAGTTGTGATTGTGTCCCCCTTGGTTGCACTCATGGAGGATCAGGTTAAGGAGGCAGCAAAACTCGGTCAGCCATGTTCACTCCGGTATTTCGCTCGATGGTTTCGTTTTCGCATCATACATGTGTTTACAGTGGAAGTTCGATGCGGCTGAGCTGGGCAATAACACACGTCATAACCAAACGTTATGTGATTGGCTTACGGGTAACCAAAGATTTTATACTTCAGACAAACCCCCCCACCCCCCACGCGCGATAAAGAAAACACTTTTCAATGATGCCATGCCAGACTCTGTCTATGAAGCGAAGCAAAGCGAAGTAGCAGAGTTTGGTATTACCAGGCTACTGTGCAGCATATTCCTGCTCAAATCGGCGGACCATCGGAAATAGGGCTCGGGAGATTACTTTTCACAAGTAAAACTTAACGTTACCGTACTACTGGTTGTAATTTGTGAATAGAATATTACCAGAGAGTTAAGAAGGAGCAAGGATCTTTGATATTATTGTACTGAAATCGTGGGTATTATTAGTGTTGGGCAGTCACTACTTGCTTAACTGGTAATTTAGTATTTTGGTGGTAGCTTCATTATTTGTGTGTGTGTGTGTGTGTGTGTGTGTTGGGACTCGGGAGGCGGGCTGCTAAATGTCAAGGGCTGGGAAGAGATGGATGCAGAAGAACGCGGTAGTACAGTGTGTGTGTGTGTGTGTGTGACAGAGAGCGACAAATATAAAAAGCTTCAACTAGACTCTAATATAATATAATCATATATTGTTTATTCAACTTATTAAAATATCTGACTTTACTGCCACTATCTCTTTCTGCTTCTCTATCATATTTATAGTGTGCGGTTTGCAAAGTACATAACGTTTTCATAGCCTACATCACATATCATAGGGTTGACCAGACGTCCCCGGTTTCAGGGAACAGTCCCCGTTTTTGGTTGCCTGTCCCTGGCTAAATACAGAAAAAAACTACCTCTGTCCCCATTTTGTTTTTGAAGACACAACATTAGGTTTTTCAATCAGATTGATAGTCAAAATGTCCCAGTTTTTCCCCCCTTTTCGGGGATTATGACTACTTTATATAATATATCAGAATATTCTATTACTGTTAAGCCCACTATAAATATTAAAATATGCCGAACCATATGTCCTGTATCATAGCACTATGACCTTTGCAGAAAAAACCCCACGTGAAAATCAGTTGGGTATGATTAATTAAATGCGCTGAAAGCTCATTGCACCTGCTAAACAAATTACACTGAGTGGAGCGAGTGACCGGTCTAAGATGGCGGCCCCACGGCTCGTCCGTGCCAGTAGGCAGTAGCGGTCGATAGGGCGTCTATCTATCTATATGTCTATGGGCATTTCAACTGAACCAAGAAACAAAATGCCTCTGCACTCAGTTGGTTAGAGCTACTTTCAATCAGAGCAACGGAGTAATTGACGTATGTTTCCGGGCTTCGGAAAGGAGCTGGCAGCGCCCGCTGGTTATGTCCACCTCGTCGTGCATGCTGAGTTGCATCGCTGTGATGCCCATTCGGTTGCTGCTTTCACTTGGTCCTCCATGAGTGCGACCAAAGGAGAAACAACAATGACCAAAGGGTTTTCATTGCGCCCCCTCTTCTTAGCGACCATCGGGCCAGCTGATAAATTAAACTTTTGCCGAATCCCGTAGGAAGGACGGCAAACACATCTTTCCCATCGACAAATGCCTTGATCGTGGTTCTCTGTTCCTCTTTTTAAATGAAAGTGTTGTCTACATCTTCTATAACAGAAGCGATGGCTGAATCTACACATTTCAGTTCTCCAGCGGCGGCCATCTTTGTTGTAAACGAATTCAACCCAAGTGGTCTTTGGTGACGTGATGATTACGTTACTGTTGATCATCTGTCCATCATCGTATAAAGCCCGCCCTGATGATTTTGTTGGTCCGAACAGCTCTGGTTCGGGAATACTTGCTTCTCAACGGATCAAGTCCAGACCGAACACAACATCCCCCTACACCGAAAAATTTTTTTTTCGGTGTCCATATAATGTAAGTGAATAGGACCCTCAAAGTTGGCGCTTCAAAAACCACACAAAACGGACATGACAGTAAGCCAGTAAACCCTGTGTGTGTGTGTGTGTGTGTGTGTGTGTGTGTGTGTGTGTGTGTGTGTGTGTGTGTGTGTGTGTGTGTGTGTGTGTGTGTGTGTGTTTTCTGTGAGTGTTGTGTGTGTGAACATTAATGTTTAACCTTTTAAAACTTTAATTTTGTAATGTCTGTTTAGGGCTGACTTCTAAGAGGATTCAACGATTCGATTCAGAGAGGTCTGATTCGACTATGCACCTCATAGTCGAATAGTAGGCAAGTGTTATGAGGGGTGTGACCTTATATAACCGTCAGACCGACGGTTATAGTTGAACACCATCATTAGAACTCTATAACCGCCAAAACCGTGCTATTAAAATATTTTTTACAAACATTTTTATCATAGAGAATGTTTAAATACTGTGACGGGTCTCCGGTTGTTCCCGCTGTGTCGACCGGTGGGTGTGACTGGGAGACTCATCAAGAGAATGATGTACACCTGTGTAGGATCATCAAGTGATATACACCTGTATATAAGCTTAGGCTTTGAGAATGTGGAGTGAGCTTCGAGATCCTCAGAGCTGCAAGACTCTTGTGAGAGCTTTTGCTCCTGTACCTTTTTGTGTTGGGTTTGTTTTGTTTTCCTTTGCTATGATTTGATCTTAGTTCTGTCTGACATCTTAACACCGCTTGTCAGACAGAAATGGCAGCTGTGTTGTAATTGATTTCCTGTTATATATATTTTTCTATTTATGTTAATAAATACACGTACAACCTGACCAACTTCACTATGTCCTCCACTCATTTGTCTTGGCTTTGAGCCGGTCGTGACAAATATGGGGGCTCGTCCAGCCAATTGTTTTGATAAAGTTTTGTTAGTAGTTTTTGTCGTCCAGCCAATTGTTATTTGATTAACTTTCGTTTGTGTCGTCCGCCAATTGTTAATTGAAGATTCGTTCGTAGTTTGTTAGTGTGACAAATATGGAGGCTTGTCAGTTGTTTAAGGTGATAAATATTTTCCGGTTTGGACAAATGTGGATAAGTCTGTTCGCTTTGGTAAGAGAAACTCATTCGTTCATTTGGTTCTGGTAAATGTGATACATTTGGATGATTATTATTTGTTTAAATTAATTTTGTTAAGTTGGTTAATTCGTTAGAAACGATTTTTTTTCTTGATAATTTTTTTTAAGTAAAACTTGTGGAGGGTTTTAGTGGTTGGTTTGGTTGTTCTGGTTGGTTACGGGAGTTTAATTTGGTGTATTGGCTACTAAATTTGAGAAAAGAGGTGTCTTGGC